CGAAGAAATAGTTCCGACCGCGTAGTAACGCGGGCGCTCGAGAACGGTCGAGCGCGGTCGTCCCGCGCGCTTGCGTAAGGATATCTGGAGGGGCGTGCAGCCCGAGCGAGCGAGCCATTCGTTTCCCAGATTGCGAGCACGATGCTTCGTGTTCTTTTGCAAAAAGTCGATAGTGTTGCGTCATATTTTTGGTGTCGCGTCATTCAGTATTGAATCGTATATCCGTGTCTCACATTGTGATTAATTGCATACCATATTTTATTCAACGATATATACTTGATACGGCGAGCATTACCGAGAGGAATCCAGGGATATCCGTACCGGCGAGCCATGCCGGCACGTGGCACGAAGGAGGGCAGCCATTTGCAGCAGAACTCGAGAGAGCCTGGACGACAGGAATTTCGAGCCCTTTCGAAGTCATAAAGTGTAGGAAAAGATATCTGTGGCGTGTTCTGTAAGACTAGCTCTAAATATTCACCTGATTTTCTCACAAGGTAACCAATTATTTCTCAATTCTAAGTAGAGACGTTAGAATTTCGTCTAGCGTCACGATAGGAATCCTGATCAAAGGATCCTAATCTCATCTGAGGGTTATCCTTGCTAGTCTCGCGGGTTGAAAGGAAACCATCCTCTCTTATTTCCGTTTGTGAACAATCTATTTCGAGTAAAATTAGAATACTGAGCTCAGTTTAAAGTAAATTCACTTATCGTACGGTTGCAACCATTTTTCGTGAACTGTAAAAGACAAACTTTATTACGTATTTATGATGTATTATATTACCTTGCGACCATTTTCTCTATTTCTTTTAAAATAAGTATTAAATGAAATTGCGTTCGATGCGAGACATAATTCTTCTCTTGCGTTATTATCAAATTCATTTCTGTGCGTTTCTGTGAGCATTAATTTCTTGATTTAATGATTATTTCACTACGTATGGTGTTAACTCTGACTGATCAAATATATTGTTTCTGCTATTCTGAATTAATGTATCGATTCAATAAGCTTTGTGAATGCTATCTATTGAGAAATTCTTATACTTTGTAATTTTGTATCAAAGAAGGGATTTGGCTAAAAGAAAATTATTAGCTTTATAGAAAATGTCGATATATGATAAACTTTAACAAGTTAAAGCGAAATAGGCTATAATTACGACTCACAGATTGATACATTGATTCAATATCTATATTACTTATGTTTGAATTTATATGCTGATTGATTTGATTTCTTTGTTGAACAGTCCTATCCTGAAATTACATTTTCTCTTTTTAGTTTGACTACGTTAACAGAAACTCTGAGATTACGTACTATAAACATTTCCTTTATGAGTAAACTGAATATATAAAAACAAAGCTTCTTTGAATTTCACTTTCATTTCGTCATCGATACCAGGAAAGGACTGTACTATAATAATTATTGATTTATTTACGTTGCGTATTTTATTCATTTATTGTATTCTCATTATATTCTGTAATTTATGTAATAACCTGTTCACGAATACTGGGAAGGTTTTCGGGCAGTTTCCCTTCTCCGAAGCAACGAATGTTGGTATTCTTTGCCTAGTTCTGCCCATTCGAGTCATTTTACAGTTCTTAAATAATTAAATGCAATCTCTCTCTCAACCACCGGATTCTTAATTATTTGTCCTTCCTCATCTAAATCTAGAGTTCAGGCTTGTGCGCGAGCTTGTGCAAACATTGGTCCTTCGAGCCGGATATAGATTTGAGATTCCGGATAAAATTATTAAATTCAAGATTCATTTTGATTATTGTTACATTTACAAATTAACATCCGGATTGAGGAAGCGACAGATCGAGTTTCGCGAAGGTTTACAAATAGAGACAAGTGATAGATCATTCCGCCTGAGTCATTTCTAGTTTGAGATCGGTAAATATTTACATTCCGAACAATGGATTCAATATTCGATTATTTTAATCAACAATTACAAATGAGTCAATTCATAGCAATCGCGTATAAAAACTTTATTGACAGTGATCCGTCGACACCTACACAAACTAAAATAGACGAGCATATAGGTTACCTTAAACATAAGTGGAATAGGTTTACTTCAATGAACGACACTATTCTATTGGCAGTCAATAAACTCGGAAATGAGGATAAAAAATTAGCGCTATCTCATTCTTACTTCGTTGATCAATTATTCTCAACTACACGTACGTGTTACCTAGCAGCTGTTGAACAGATTAAGTCGAGTCTTTATGTAAATGAACCTGTTGTGGTGGAATCGAATCTTAGGGAAGAGGAATCAGTTGTCGTAAGGCCTAGTTCTCATATAAATGAACCAATATCAATAAGGGATAGTGTAATTACAGAACAACCAGTTTTAACTAATTCTTTGCCCGTTCAATCTTTGTCTAATGAGATTCCTTCGACAAGCGGTTATCCATATTCAAGGCTTCCGCGTATTAAAATTCCTACCTTTGATGGTAATCCGGCAAAATGGTTAGAATATCGAGATTTGTTTGCTTCTATGGTTGTATCTACATCCTTAAATCCCGTTGAAAAGTTACAATATTTAAAAACTAGTTTAACCGGTACAGCATCTCAATTAATTCAAAATACGGCATTAACTACAGAGAATTTTTCAAAGACATGGGAATCGTTAGTATCTTTTTATGATAATAATCGACTTCAGGTCAACACAGCATTAGACTCCTTATTCAATCTAAAGCCTATGACAAAAGAATCTTCTGTTGAATTAGAACTATTGTACACCACTGTGCTGCAAATTCATAGCACTTTGGAAACTTTGCAACAGCCAGTTGAAACGTGGGATGTCATTTTTGTTCACTTGACGGTACTAAAGTTGGATTCAGAATCAATAAAAGCATGGGAAAATTCATTAGGTTCTTCAAAAATCCCTCCATCATGGAAAGAGCTTATCGATTTTTTAGTTACTCGTCTTTCTTCGCTGCAGGCGTATGAAAAGTCTCGAGGGGACAAAATCACATTTAAAGCTTCAACAAAATCTCATTATTCGGAAACGTCTAATAACAACTCATCATTTAGCCACTTCATTTGTTCTATTTGTAAGGGAGAACATTTTCATGTAAATTGTCCTACGTATGTCAACGGGACTATAAATCAAAGGTTAGCACTCATAGACAAACACAAGTTGTGTTATAATTGTTTAGGGAAACATAAGGTATCAATGTGCAAAATAGAAAAACGTTGCAAGAAGTGTGGTAAAAGGCATCATACAACTGTACATATTTCCGAACTTTCTTCTAATACGATAAATACATTAGATAAAGAATCAGAGTCTCAATTACCATCCAGCACTAGTCAGATAGAATAAAGCTAAAATTTTACTTAACTATCAGTATACTTGATCTCTTACTTCATTAGGTTC